GGCTCCACACCCTCTTCCCGACTCGGCCTTTGTGGGGCTCTTACTGTCATCACCCCGTTTGAGCCCGGAGTAAAATAAGCACACATAGAGAGGCGTGCATGAGCAGATGGCTTTAAGGATATACGGGTTTACAGCCCAGCACTTTTCGAGCATCTTAAGCGGTCTTCCAGTTCACCCCAAATCTATATTTCGCCGCCTCTGACCACCCAGATGCACTTTAATGCACTTGGCATTTATTTTCCCTGCTTTAACAATCTTCCTGCTTCCTCGTTCGCTCCCCTGTGTTCTTCTTACCCGTGTTAAATCATACTTTGCATTGGGATGCTTCGTACATGTGTTAAATGTTAGTTCGAGATGTTCAGCTTCAACGACAAATTAGTCGCGCCATCACTCAAAGCCCGCGCGCGGGAAACAGACTCGAGCTCCCCGACGACCCGCCGCTCATCTGTCAACCCTTCAGCCCTTTTCCTCGCATTATTTTCCACCATATATTATTCTTTCCTCGCGTCTTTTTCGAGTAGGCCGGGAGTGCGGTGGGTGTTTGAGCTGGAAGCGTCTTGCCGTTGTTTTCTTTACTAAAACACCTGTACAAACAGCGGCCGTGCCAACTGACAGCAGAAGCGCGGGAACCACTGCACAACAACAATAACGTAGCTAAATCAATTAGACTAAAGATAGATGAAAAGATTACAACGTATATTGATCTACAGCGCTGGGGAAAGTTACTTTTAAAAGTAATGCGTTACAATGTTGCGTTACTCCATAAAAAAGTAACCAATTTCGTTACTTAGTTACTTTTTATGGAAAGTAATGCGTTACGTTACTTTTGCGTTACTTTTTAAATCTGAGCTGGGCTTGCTTGTTTGTTTTTAAAATAAAAAAGTTATATTTTTGGCGAATATAAAAGCCTTTCACAGCAAAAGTGAAATGAATGCGCCTCAGGCTGAAGGGAAAGTACAGTAGAATGCAGAAGAAGACATTTCAACACACTTCAGCAATAAACAAAGTAACTTGTGCTTATTAGTACGCTTGAACTGCATCATCGAAGCTCAGAAGCTAATAGAACGGGATTAAATACATAAAGCATATTTGTGTTGTTTAACATTTACTTATTGCAGGTTTGCGTCATATTCTGAGTTGCATTATTTTTATTCATTTTGAGGAATACTGAATCTGTGTTTTTTAGTTTTGTGTGTGAGTGAGATGAATTAATGCATATTCATATTTATTTTAGAACTACAGTAACATCTGATTTCTGTCACCATGGCGACACCAGAGCTGTCAATCAATACATTGGAAAAAATTTTTTTACGTGTCACTCATTTGAAAAAGTAACTCTTGTAAATTAAAAAGTAATGCATTACTTTAAAAGTAATCTGATATATATTACTTATTTTTTTATGTGTAGATGAAACACCTTAAAAGGCCGTTCACAGCAAGGATGATAATAACTATAAAGTTTTAATAATCGTTCTAATTCTAGTTTTTTTTCCCCGATTAATCGCGTCCAAAATAAACGTTTTTGTTTACAAAATATATGTGTACTGTGTATATTTATTATGTATATATAAATTCAAACACATGCATGTATATATTTCAGAAAAATATGTTATGTTTATATATTAAATATATGTATATAAAATATTCATATAAATATTTTCAAAATAAATACTGTATGTGTGTATTTATATATGCATAATAAATATACACACTACACACATATACTATGTAAACAAAAACGTTTATTTTGGACGCGATTAATCGTTTGACTGCACTACATTTAAAATGTATTTATTTTTCAGCTGATTAACCATAAAAACATTGACAGCCAATCAGAATGCATCCTGGCATTTAAAGTGACAGACGACAAAACTGCAGCACGCTTGTAATAAACGCTAATGTATCGCTAACACAGTTATCGTTCTTGGTGTGAACGCACCTTTATCCAGCGCAAAAATGCTATAAGGATGCATTTATGATAGTTACTGTAAGCTATTATAATAGTTTGTTATCATTGTAGAGTGAAAAGCTTAATAGTGCAGTTATTATCTCTTAGCGAAGGTCAAACGATTCCCGTCTTAACCGACTGATCGTGCGAAACAAATGAAACGTCTGGAGCGTATATTAATTCCCCATCAGATGAAGTGATGAGCGCTGGACTCGTTCTGAACAGCTCGTGTGTAAGTGCTGTCAAGAGGAGACTATTTCAGACGCAATTACTCACTGGCATCACGTTTCAGTAAATTACAGGCAGACATTTGAATGATATTAATATTGGACAGTATTCCTGACCACATGTCTACATCCTCCTCCGCATTAATACATCTTCTGAGCGTGGGATTTGGAAAAGACATTTTACTTTCCAGAGCAATGAAGAAGATGGAGAGCGAAGAGAAAAAAAAACAGACATCCATGTCAACGTGTGTCGTGACATTTATTCCTAAACAGTGCAGCGCTCTACAACACCTGGACAGGCTTGCGTTTGCAAATACATCCAGTATTTAAACAGAAATATCCAGAGGTCATATAATGAAACTTCTCTAAGTAGAGGATCCCGTGGAAATGAAAACACTCACGCTCGCACAAACCAACAAATCACTCAAATAGAGTTTACAGGCCGCCTGCAAATCCTCTACACAAGTCGTCTCTGTGTGACTCCTGCTTTACTGCAGATTATTGGTCCAATATGATGCTCATAAACGTCAAATATCAGTCATGAACACGGAGGGGGGAGGATTATGTACATGCATTTGAGATATTCCCTCTGGATTTGCCAAATTAAATTTAAAAAGCATTAAAAATGGGGAAATACTGTGTAAAACAAGTCATTGTGATTATGATGCTCGAGGTGAAGAGTTATTAATACTGAAATGTCTCAGAATGGCCTTCTATAAAACTACACGAGCAGTCAAAGGTTTTTGGACAGTAAGATTATTAAAGTTTTTAAAGAAGTCTCTTCTGCTCACCAAGCCTGCATGTATTTGATGCACAGTACAGCAAAAGCAGAACAACTGAGAAATATTTTTACTGTTTAAAATAACTGCTTTCTATTTGAATATATTTTAGACTGTAATTTATTTCTGTGATCATTACTCCAGTCACACCATCCTTCAGAAATCATTCTAATATTCTGATTTGCTGCTCAAAAAAACATATATTATTATTATTATGTTGTTGAAAACAGCCGAATAGAATTTTTCAGGTTTCTTTGATGAGTAAAAAGTTCAGAAGGACAGTTTATACCGTTTTTTTGTAACATTATAAATGTCTTTATCACCACATTTAAAGCATCCTTGCTAAATAAAAGTATTAATTTCCATAATTTCTTTCCAAAAAAATTTAAAAATTATACTGACAGCTGTAGATCAGTTATTTTAAATAGTAAACATATTTCACAGTATTACTGCTTTTGCTGTATTTTGGAATTAATAAATGCAGGTTTGGTGAGCAGAAGAGACTTTAATAATCTTACTGTTCAAAAACTTATGACTGCTAGTGTACTTTCCCTCCTAACACACACACACACACACACACACACACTCTCTCTCACTTACTCACAGCAATACCCCCAGAGACTGCCTTTCACCCCTACAGCAAACAGTCACACTCATATTTCTACTGAGATGCACTTATATGGTCACAAGAGAGACTGAGTGAGAGGACATTTTAAATCAGTCTATTTGATTATAAACAAAATTATAGAGATTACCTGCATATTGCTTACTGCATACTACTAGTATTTTTAAAAAATAGTATGTGAAAGAGCATACAATGATACACCTTTGCTGCATTGTTGTCACATGATGTCCCCATTATGTTGTCACATAATGGGGACATCATGTGACAACAATGCAGCAAAGGTGTATCATTGTATTGTGGTAGAAATTCCCCTACGCACCTGACTTAAGTTTAATCGGGGGTGTCTCTGGCAACACTCAAAATGTATACTCTTTAGTGCGCCTCAAGTGTCACACTGTTGAGTTAGGCGACGTCTCGCCCCCTATGAATATTATCACTTGGGATCAAGATCTCTAATGTTCGACTAACCTGCTGTGCAGCAGTAACCAGACACACTCCAGACAATGCCTTTGAATCTGCATTGACTCTGTAATGCTGCATTGACTCTGTAATACAGCTCCCACCATGAGAATAGCATTACTTGCATTACCTACCTCTCTCCAATCTTATTTCCCTGAGTCAACCAATGGACATGTTTTAAAACTAACTCACAGTCAATTTTAATAAATTTGGAAAAACAGAATAGTTCCTAATAGATCTGTAACCACATTGCAAATTAAGAAAGCTTTTCAAAATTTAGCTGTATGAGCAATTACTTGATGCGCTTTTGGGATGTTAGAACTGTCCAGATTCATATTTCTGGTTTAACGTGTTTGGGTCACATTTCATTTAGTCTAGGTTTTAGCTTTGGAACCCCTACATAACTTGGTTCAATTCACAATTTGAGCTAAATCAAAAGTATCATTAGCAATGTATCAGACATTTGGGTGTGCTATGGTGCCATGCAATCAATCAATAATTTGGAAATGAAATTATGTTTTTCTCTTACAAATCAATCTCAAATGTCAATTTTCAGGTTGTAATCTCACAACTCCAAAAAGTTCTTACAAACATGGTTGTCCTTCACAATTTTTCAGGATTACCAAAATTTTCTTTTGCCTGGATTGCAAGCTTTAATCGGATTGTACGAGAATATTCGGACCTGGTCTGATGAAGTGACTTATCACACATTCCCGCTGAAATACGAAATAATGTTTTCAACTTTAGCTATCACTGTCTTTTCCTCTATATTATGTTTAAGTTCTAACCGACATAAAAGGCATAAAAAAGAACTATGATTTCCATTCAGTATGAATTTTTCGCTATTACTGGAGCAAAAATTATATGATCTGTTATCATTGTGGAAACTTACAGTATATGAGAAAAATTAATTACCAAAGCAAGACAGAGAGCTACTGTTGCAGCTATTAAAACTGACAGACGCGAGCGAGACAGAGACGATGATCACTGTATGTTACACATGGAGCTGCGTGGAGGGTTGACGGCTCGAGCCACCGACTCCTGACTGTAGTTCACTATGTCTGCTTTAACCACGTGCTGCAGAAACACAACAGAAAGATAAACCATCAGTCAGCCCTCATTGCACCCAAGCAATGTACTGTTTACATTTAATGGAAAGTTTAAAACAAATCAGATAAAAAAGTAATGTAAAAGTAATCTAAAAACATAATCAGGATACATTACCTAAAATGAGTAGCCTAGATTACATTACTCATTACAATTTTCATCATGCAATGTGTAATAAGTAATGGACTGACTACAGTTTGTAAGTAATCCACCCAGCACTGGTAGTGCATCATACAATACAAGATAATAATCATGATTACTGAGCCTTAATATGTTCATATGACACACACACGACTGATGCTATACACACATAGATCACGCACTACAGAGCAACAAACACACTTCAAATCTACATTAAACAATAAAGTATTATGAGTTTTTGATGAATCTACACAGCAAAAAGAATGAAGACACACACTCACTCACACACACACTCTCACACATATACACACACACTCTCACACACACACACTCTCACACACACACACACTCACTCAATCACACACACACATATACACACTCTCACATATACACACTCACACACACACACACTCTCACACACTCTCACACTCTCACATATACACACGCTCACACACACACGCTCTCACACACACGCTCTCACACTCACTCACTCAATCACACATATACACACTCTCACATATACACACACTCTCACACAAACACTCACTCACTCACACACACTCTCACACATACTGTTATTGGATAGAGCAGATCTTGCTCTGATTGGTCTCTTGTCCGATTGGTCCCTCATCCTGAGGATAGTCCACCAACTCCGCTTTGACAATATGCTACACACACACACACACACACACACACACACACACACACACACACAATGGAAACAGAGAAATTGAGAAAAACAGAAGAGAAAAATGAGGTTCCATGCATTAGATAAAGAAAGAAATAAAGATAAAATGGCAGAAAAGATGATTTACAGATGTAAGAGAATGTGTTCAAATATGTGTGTAATCCCTGAACACACACACACACACACACACACATGCACATACAGTCAGTCTATCAGATGTGAAATGATCGAAGTCTCAGTATGAATGTGTTTGAACAGAAGTGGAAAAAAGAGAAGCGTATGCTCTGCTGGAGAGCAAACACAGATCATAGTCACCTGTGACTGCTCCATCTCAGCTTTATTCAGCTTTATGCCTAAAATCTCAGCCGCCAGCCTCTGGAAACAGAGAAACACCTGCAAACACACAGAATAAACACTGACACGCAGCAGAACACCACTGAAAACAGCTTGTGTGTCCAACCCAGTCTCAGGAGAAGCTATAGTCATTTGTGCAATGAGGCAAAATCTAAGAAACTGTACAAAAACAAACAAGTCAAGTCTAAACCTAACCATAAGACCAGAAACGTATTAAAAAGAAGCTTCTATCTTGTGTAAAGTATGTTTCTGGCCTGAAGCACAACTCCAAAACATTAACATGAATGTCAAACATAAAATATAACATATGATTTCATGGTGAAGTTTATATCTCGCAATTCTTCTCAAAATTCTGCATGTGCACACGATCAGTTCAGATGCCTAAAAATTCTGGGAAAACTCAAGATGTATGTATATATATATATATATATATATATATGTGCGCATGTGTGTGTGTATGTGCGTGTGCATGTACGTGTGAGTGAGTGAGTGTGTGTAAGTGTGTTACTCACAGAGTCTCCTGTTTTCGCAGACACAAACTGACTGATGAGTCCGTTTTCCTGACAGAATCGCTGATGTTTCTCCATCTTCACTGTCCGCATGTGCTCCAGATCAACTACACACACACACACACACACACACACACACACAGTAGTTGAGTGGCTCTGATTGAAGGAACACTGAATTCTGCTGGTTTGACTGGAATCACTGATAGAGCACCTCTGGCCGACACACCACAGTAAAACCCAATCATTATGTTTGATTGCATGTAAATCAGAACGACAGGTTATTTCAATAAGCTGATTTTTATGAGTTATGAGTTATTTGTGTCTCACTGAAAACAACATTCAGCTGAACCTCTTCTGTTCCACAGAACAAAGACCGTCATCAGGAGTCTGAACAGAAGTGAACGATGATTTCTGCATAAACTCTGTCTGAGCTGCTTTCACACACCTGCACACGCAGGATACCGTACAGAATATCAGACCTGAGGGCACACACACACACACACTCACACACCTGTGTCATGTGATCATGCCGCTTAGCGTCATGTGTGATCCGGCATCGCTGTCAGCAGGACTGTGATTTAGTGAGAGCTCAACAATGGCACTCTGACACCCGTAACACACCCTGTCTGTGTGTGTGTGTGTGTGTGTGTGTGTGTGTGTGTGTGTGTGATGTCACTGCGGGGTCATGCACAGGTCAGGGCACAGGGGTCATGCAGGAGATTCACCCCAGCTCCATTTACACTGCTCTTACAGACACACACCTGCGTTTGTGTGTGTGTGTCATATTTCGCCATCTCTGAATAACCAAACAACCAGAACTGCCTGAAACTAGAGTTTATGCTTTTCTACTTAAACGCACACTCTCTCTCTCACTCACACACACTCACTCATACACACACACACACACACATACACACGCACACTCACACACACACACACACGCACACTCACACATACACACGCACACTCACACATACACACGCACACTCACACATACACACGCACACTCACATACACACGCACACTCGCACACACTCACACACACACACACTCACACA